CGTGACCTGGTGTTATGACCTTGAATTGAAAGACTTGGGAGGGGAAAATGGGTCATTTGAAATCTTAAAATGCTAGATTTAAACAATAATTGCAAACACTATCCCGGCCAAATAGTGAGTGAGAATGGAGCGATTCCCCAACCCCATGTTTAGCTCCTATAATTGAGCTAGCTGCTAGAGCCTCGCGAAAAAAAACGAGCGCTTGCGTCGTTAGGTGACGCAGCAACTGGTACCCCATTTTAAAATATCAGTGACCTCTTAGTGCAGGTCAAGGGCCCCAAGGCATTGGACCGGTTTTTGGTAAATAGATTCGTAAAAATGGTCGCATTATCGTCATTTCGATACAATCGTGTTTTCTGTTCTCAGACGCGTCGATTTATATGCTTTTTTGCTTAGGTGAAGCAATTTAGGATGTTTACCTCAGGTCAATGTCATGTTAGGGCAACACAGGTCACGAAGCTGTTGAAAGGAGGACATGTTGCATAACATTTGATTCGGCAAGTCTTACAAGTCCATTGATGGCTGTCCCGACTGGCTAGCTCATTTTGATCGGGAGTTATTGACGAAGCACTCCTATGACCCTAGTTACGTAATAAATGACGTCACGCAAGGTGAACAATGCAAAAGTGAAGCATTAGACCTTGCCAAGAATGTAGGAAGTCACGATTTCATGTGCTTGAGGTATAGTTTCAGATCATTTCCGACGGCAAATTAACAGTTTCCATATTTCCCCATTATGCTTATATGACACTAAGTGCATTGCGGATTTGCATCATTTTATAACAGACAATCATGCAGAGGTTTACTTAACCCTCGCCGGACCTATTGGTTTTCTACATACGCGCCGGCCGAGGGGGGGAGGGGGCGGGTACGACCCCCCTCACCGTTTCGCCCCTGGTGGAGCTAGCGCGTCGCGGAAAAAACGAGCGTGTGCGCCGTTACAAGACGCAGAGATTGGTACCCGATTTTAAGGTCCTAGGTCAACCGGTGACCTCTGAGGTCAGTTCAAGTGCCCCAAGGTACGGTCCAGTTTTTGTTGAATAACTTCGCAATAAACGGCTGCAGAGCCGAGATTTTGGCAGCATCGTGTTGGCCTCGGTCAGGCGCGTCGAATGATATACTTTTTGTTTGGGTCAGGTCAAATTAGGGTGTTGACCCCAGGTCACGGTCAGGTCAGCACCCCCAGGTCACGAAGTTGGTCGAAAGAGGTCATGTCGCATATCATTCGATTTGGCAGGTCTTCCTGAGTCCATTGGTGGCTTTCCCGACTCGCCAGCTCAATTTGATCGGGAGTTATTGACGAAAAACTAATATTAACCTTGATGACGTCATAAATGACGTCACGCAAGGTCAACATTGCAAAAGTGACGCATCTAACCTTGCAAGGAGTGCATCAAATCACGATTCTGTGTGCTTGAGATAGTTGGAGATTATTCCCGGCGCCAGAATAGCAATTTTCATTTTCCCCATTGACTTATAATGACCTGACAGGTCATTATGACTTATAATGACCTGACCTGTCATGTCATTGACTTAAATGACCTGACCTCATATGACCTTTAGGAAAAATCTGAGATAAACAAGTTGTGGGACTCGTAATGGATACTAGATCCTGCAGGTTTCATTTCCCTGTGAAAGCTCCTCTGGCAGTGAGGGCGTTGCGAAGTTGCAACATCTGAAGACCGTGCAGAGGTTTAGGTACTTATGACGTCATAGCAGGGCCTATTCTAACATGTTAACTGGGGGGGGGGGGCAAATGCCCTCGCACACAACAGAATTGCCCCCCATCCCAGTTGTCGAGATTTGCCCACTATAAAAATGGGAAAGGAACAGGGCAGTGTTCTAAAATAGGATTTTGGTTGGGTGTGACGATGATGACCAAAAAATCTAGGATGAGAAAAAAACAAGTGAAAACCTATATCACTTTCGCAATAAATGCGTAACGCTACGCTGGCTGATAAGAGAACATACCATTCCTGACCACCAAAACTAACCGAAAAAGACGATGCAAATAGGTAAGGATGATCTACGGCAGAATTATAACTTTAACATCTGATCGCCAAGTGTTTCTAAATCCGTCCCATTTTATACCAACATTTGTGTTTGATTGAGACTAATGAATTAAGAATCACCCTTGTCTCTTATACAGCAAAGAATGAATACCTACTTCAACCAGTGAGATTTCATTTTCCTCACAAGTCAAAATGCATTGTCACATTAATTGAATGACGTCCAGTGGCCATCCTTCTCCTAACCTTAAATCAATGCTTTCCTTTCCGTTTCAGATGCAGACAGCAGATATTACCGTCAGCATCTGCTAAGTTCCTACTCATGCTTACTGGCACGGATCCAGGACGGTCCTTCTGCCTGTATATTTCTCCTAAAGAGCAGAAGATGCAATGATTCTGTTGAAATCTATTGTCATATCTTAAGGAGGGTGGGGGAGGGGCGGGTGAGAGCTCTCCCTATATGCAGGCTTTGGTACTAGTGCCATGTGGAGAAGTTTTCTTTCTTTTTTAAGCAAAGGAAGTGGGAAGGAACCTGTCATTGCCGTTGCAAAGGGCATCATTCGGTTCCTATATTATTGATTTAGTGCAGTTGACTCAGACTGTGTAATGCGTGAGGCGTGGTCATCACTGTGACACTGTCAGAAAATCTTAGGTAATCATGATACCCTGATGGGCAGTTTGTTGACGTAACTGATCGCTATGAAACCAGAAACCGTATAACTCATGTGTTCTGGCCTCTGGGACGTTTTGCGCCTACAATATGGCAGCACCGCTTCCAAGATTACTGTATGTTTGAGATAATATGCGGCAATATAAGTATGTAGTTTTCGTTCGCATCTGATCTGGTAATATTCGTACAGTGTACACAGTATAGCTTTGAGCTTTCCATTTTCAACAGATATGACAATGGCCGGATGATACTGGAAATGGTGCCTTTGCTCTGAGCATACGGAACGGGACGCAGTATTGAGTATGCAATTGCAGTCGCACTATGCAGCATGACATACGCCGGAAATCTCCCGGCCCGAACGCCGGAACGGCCAGCGATAGTCGGTACTCATTACGCATAGTGAAAATGGAAACGATTTCAGCGCAACTCTTCGAAAGGAACGGTGCACTACATGAGACTAGAAAAAGGGTCACTGATTAGGGCACCCCAAACGGAACGATGTGCACTGCGCAGCATAATACGCAACATCGCAATAAAAAGCGTGCAACTAACCAGTAACCAGGGCATCCGTATCGGAACGGAACGGGATGCAAAAAAAAAAATGATAACAGGATGCCACCGACCTCATGGCCGGCCACCGAAACGGAGCGGTAGCTTCGTATCATGTCACGTGGTAAGTGCTAGTGAGAGCGTCAATGATCAGTGATCAGTGATCAGAGCACCCGCAACAGAACGGAGGGCATCAGTGATCACTGATCAGAGCAACTGCAACGGAAAGGAGGGCATCGCTGATCAGGCCACCCCAAGCGGAAGGGAAAGCGAGAGCACAACTGACCAGAACACCCGAAACGGAACGGACGGGAGTGAACGGAACGGAACGCATTAGCGGCTCGCCGAATCGCGATTCCGGCCAAACATGGCCTCAAGAAATAGGTCACAGGTCAAAGGTCATTTGGGTCAGGAATATGAGATTTTCAGAGTAGGTGTCCAATTAATTGACTCGAGGGTCCTGAAAGTTTCGTCGCGATCGGCCGCTTTTTACGCGAGTTATTCTCGAAAAAAACGAGGGGGTGGTTCGTTCGACCCTCCCCCCCCTATACGGGCGAGGGATAATTTATTAAAAAGCTAGGGCCTTCTTAATCCCATCTACCAGCTTCAGAACATGTATTGGGCAGATCTGGGAATACCTGGGAATCTGGGAATCTTAATTTATCCCTAGATGTGTGCCAAGGTATCCTTTCACTCATCTTGGCTTTCCCTCGGCCGAACGCTTCGTGTTTAAAAACCTCTAGAAACTAATTGAAGTGAATAATTGGCGGTAAGATTATTGCAAAGGCATGAGAAATTAACGTAAAATACATCATTACCGGTCTTATAACCTCATTTCGCGTATGAAACCTGTCAGAGTCCCAGACTTTCATATTCATCCCTAGGGTGTGCCAGGGTGGCGTGTCAGTCATCTCGAACCCCTGCCCGACCCGACGCCTCGAGTTTTAAAGACATCTAAAAACTAATAACGTAAATAATTTGTGGTGAAATCATAGGCGCGGGAGCCGGGGGGGCAGTGGGGGCAGCTTGCCCCCCCCCCCCCAACTCTGGGGCCGTGGGGGCGGTGCCCCCACAGCTTTGAGACGGAATACCACACTTTTTTTGCAAATGTTTTCTTTTTTTGTTGAAAAAGCCGAGGGGTGAAAAATAAGTGGCCTAAAACCGGTGAGAAAACTAGATTTGGGGGTACCCTAGGTTAATCTCTATTGTGGTGTGACCCCCCAGTCGGAAAGTAGTTCCCGCGCCCCTGGGTGAAATTGATATAATATGATCAGAAAAGAACGCAGAATAAATTAGTATCGGTCTCAAAACATTATTTTGCCTATGAAACCAGCCAGAGCCCGCGGAGTTTTAGATTCATCCCTAGGGTGTGCCCAGGGTGGCTTTTCTCATCTTGGACCTCTACCAGGCGCGACGCCTCGAGCTTGTAAGTCCTCTAGAAGCCATTGACGGACATAATTTGTGGCGAAATTGATGCGATAGGATCAGAAATAAACGCAGAATAAATTGGTATCGGTCTCAAAACATTATTTTACATATGAAACCAGCCAGAGCCCACGGAGTTTTAAATTCATCCCTAGGGTGTGCGCAGGGTGGCTTTTCTCATCTTGGACCTCTGCCAGGCCCGACGCATCGAGCTTTAAAGTCCTCTAGAAGCCATTGACGGACATAATTTGTGGTGAAATTGATACAATAGGATCAGAAATGAATGTAGAATAAGTTGGTATCTGTCTCATACCCCTATTTTGTAAATGAAAAAAGTTAGAGCCCACCAAGTTTTAAATTCATCCCTAGGGTGTGCCAGGGTGTGCCCAGCTGACTGCGGGTCCAAAGATGAAAATTTTGTAGGCGTATCCTGCGTAACTTAGTCAAAAGCGAATTGCAGAGGTAGTGTTTAATTTGCGCAAGCAGCGGCTCATCCGTTTTGCATTGGCAGCAAACCACTAATCATAGTTGTTATTAATATCCAAGAGCATTTATTCAGAACACAAGCCTTTTTTTACAAACAGTTGAGGTAATCAAGGTCATTCAACGCATATTTGTTATTAACAGCTGGAAGTGTGCAAGGTTATTTTCTTTCGTTGTCGGTCAGGGTGAGTTGTTGGGTTTGTGCCTTGATTTAGCTTTTTTTCATGGAAATTATGTATTATGTAGTGTAGCAAACCTGTAAGTTCTGTCTATATGGCGCTGCTAGGTATATCTGCTAATCTGGCTGTTAATTGTTGAGCATGAGTTGAGCATTTTTCAAAGATGAAAGAATTCCAATTTACCTGGTTTTGGGGATGAAAATATTTTGCCCATTAGGTGTGATTTTCCACCCAAAATTCCCAAAAATGGAACACTGGAACAGGGTGACAAGCATACTACTGTGACTTGTTTTGCAATGGATGTCAAATGAGTCAGTCTGCAAGTAATGACCAGTGGTGGATCCAAGGGTGGGTCATATGGGTCATGACCCCCCGCCCCCTTGGGGCCCGGGGACTCCACAGGCCTGCCAGGGGCACTACCGGCCTGTCAGGGGCACCACAGGTCTGTTGGGAGCACCATCGACCTAGCAAGAGCACCATAGGTCTGCCAGGGGCACCACAGACCTGCCAGGGGCCCCACCGGCGTCGCAGGGGCACCACCTTGGGCCTGTCAGGGGTATCACCACAGGCCCGCCAGGGGCACCACAGGCCTGCCAGAGGCACCACAGGCCTAGCAAGGGCACCACGGACCTGTCAGCGACACCACGGGCCTGTCGGGGGCACCTCAGGCTTGTCAGGGCCAAGGGACATCACAGTCCTTTCAGGGGCACCACAGGCCTGTCAGGGGCACCAAAGGCCTAGCAGGGACACCACATGCCTGGCAGTTGCACCACCGGCCTCGCAGTGACACATTGGGCCTGTTAGTGGCACAACGTGCCTGTCGGGGACACTCCAGGCTTGTCAGGAGCACCACAGTCCTGTCAGGGCCCAGGGGCACCAGCGGCCTAGCAGCGGCGCCATCGGCCTAGCAGGGACACCAACGGCCTCGCAAGGGCATCATGGGCCTGTCAGGGGCACCACGGGCATGTCGTTGGAACTTCAGGCTTGTCAGGGGCACCACAGTTCTTTCAGATGCACCGACGGACTAGCACCATGGCACCATGTTTGGCCGGGATCGCGATTCAACGTATGTTGCCTCGCATTAGCCGCGCGTTTGCAGTCTTGTCTTTTCGTCGTTTCAAACGTTCAAACATGGGATATGATGTTGCTCTCATGCCTTAGGGTGGGTGTCAAGGTCACCGGAAGGTCAGGTCAGGTCATTTACCTTTGATGACCTCGGTTCACATGTTCGAGTTTCATATGTTTCTAGGCTAGTTTTTGGAGCTGAATTCGAATTTAGCAGCCATTTGACCGTTTACGAAGTAGTTTTGGTGCCGTCGTAACATGTTACGAAGCTGTCAGAGGCGGTTGCCACCTACTACGAATACCCGGCAAAGCCCTTACTGGTTGACCTGACCTGACCTGACCCGACCTGGCCTAAATGCATGAAGACATCATCTATGATCATAACTAACATGATATTCGTGATCAGCACCCCGAAAAAAAAAAAACATAGCAGCCACCCTTTACGACGCTCTAACAGGTCTCGATTTTCCCGACTTTTGGGTCATTGACCTGACCTGGAAGGTCAACCGATGACCAAGGACCTTAAAATTGGGTATCATCGGCTTCCTTTCATCACGGGCAGCACGCTCGTTTTTTTCAGCGAAGCTCTAGCTCGATCAGGGGCGAAACGGCAAGGAGGGGGGGGGGGGGGGGAAGTTCCAAGGCCCTCCCCCATATAGTTACGTTCGCAGCTGGAAAACACCAATACGGGCGAGGGTTAATGGGTTATTAAAGACAATTTTCCAGGCTGCCCCCCCCCCAGTCAAATTCCCTTAAAATAGGCTCTGCGTCATAGGTCAGTGACCTGACCTGACCCGAAAATGCGGTTGGTGTCAAAAGATCCGGCTTGAATCAAGGGTCAATATGCCACGTTTCAGCTCTCTATCGCCAGCGTGTTTGGAGCTATCGCGAAAAAAAACCTATGGGGGCGGCACCCGCCCCCCCCCCTCGGCCGGCGAGGGTTAAGACGTCATAGTTAACCCGCGCGGGGCTGGGGTCTCCAGCCGAACGCGCGGGGCTGGGGGGGGGGGGGTAAATTTTGCCCCCCCCCTGTTATCTCCCGAACTAATGGTCCGATTTGGAAAATTCGAACGCCAATCGAAAGATCTCATCACGAACAACTAAAAACATGTACTTAATTTTAAGTTTGAGGTCAAGGTCAAGGTCAGGTCAAGGGTACAAATTGCAAGTATCGGCCTTGCACCGTAGTTGCCGAAGAATGGAGTCATGGACTGAGACTGATTGCCCAAAACGTGTTTTTAGGCTACCAAGACAATGTTCGTTGCATACAATATCATTCAGAGGTCAAGGTCAAGGTCAGGTCAGGTCAGGTCAGGTCACCAAAAACAAAATATAGAAAAGGGCATGTGCGACACATGTTTTATGGGTCATTTTACTCATAGAATTCAAAAGGCACACTCAATAAGTGATATGGACCACCTCTGGATGAATTTCAGGTCGAGGTCAGGTCAAGTGAGGTCAAATTTTGAAGTTGGTTGTTAAGGCCTAAAAAGGTGTCTATCTGATGCAGCTTTTCACGGCGAATCGAATGGTGCTATTTTTGTTTCCGTACGAGGTCTAGAACTTCCAAAAAATTCATTTTTCAATTTTTTGTGTGTCGTGACGTCATAAAATTTTGAATAACTCCCACATTTTTGAACCAATTCTTCTAAAAATTGGTATGTAGGTGCACATGGACCACTTCTCTGACATTTATTCCGGTTTTTTTGATACACTCAAAATTTTGGATTTAAAAACTATTTTCCCAAAAAAGTCAGTTTTTTTGGAAAAAATTTGGGCCAAAATCCAAAATTTTCAAAAAACCGAGATAGCCATTTGATAGACAAAGTAGAAAGGCGTATAACCTTTTTTTGTTACGTCTTGATTCCTTTAAAAATGAAGATGTTAGCGGCGTTTGAAATTTTGCCGTTTTTTAGGCGAAAATGGCGAACATGACGTCACTAAAACGTCAATTTCTCCAAAATTTTCCGACGGATTTCGCTCAAATGTTCAGGGAACGTGTCAAATTGATGTAAGAAAAGGTACTGAAAGTTTGACGGCGCTGCGCGCCGCCGTTTTTGAGATATTGCCAAAATTCGCGAGGGGGGGGGGTAAAATTTACCCCCCCCAGCCCCGCGCGGGTTAAGTGACCTGACTTGAAAACGTGGTTGATGTCAAATGATCCGGCTTGAATCAAATGTGAGGCATATGAAATGTCAGCCTTCTATCATCAGTGTGCTTTGAGCTACCGCAAAAAAAAAAATACATGGCGGCGGCATCCACCCCTTCTTCTCGGCCGGCGAGGGTTAAACCTCGTTTCGAATTATTGCAGATAACGATGCGACCGAAATCAAAACATTTATCTGTGTCTAGAAGGGCCGCTGACTTGTTGGACAAGACCCCCAATCTTATTTCGCTAGATGGGAATAAAATACACGGTATGTGATACATCCCCTCGATTTGCCCCCGCGCTAAGTCTATTCTAATCATCACTAACGCTCTTTTATCCGAGATGATGTCGCCACTAAACCGGTTGTTTTGTTTGCTTGCTTGCGTTGAATGGTCTGTGGTCATTACGGATTTTTGAAGGATTATGATAAAATAGGAATGGGGCAAGGGAGGATATGCACTGAAGGGGTTTAATTCAGATCACAAAGGCATCATTTCCCGCATCGTGCAGAGTCACTATCTTCACCTCCTCTGCACTGCGGCATCTCTGCGCCCCACACGCGGCGTCCTCACTCCACGGCCGGCCGCCGCCAACTGACCCACTCGCCGGGCGCCGCGACCTGACCCGTGTCACTGCCGCGGCCTGCGCAATAGAGTCGGGGCTGGAATCCGGGGGTTCGGCCGGGCGGCCGCCTCTGGAGCGGGGGACTTTTTTAGTAGACCTACTGTACCTAGGTTATATAGGGTTGTGAAAATGCCTCTTCACCTTTGCCTGCTTTCATCTTTAACCACAAAACCATGCTATGAGTTATGACTTATGACCAGTTTTTAATAATCATGAGCAAAGATTCAGAAAAAGGATTAGGTATGACACTGCTGAACAAAAATAGTGGATCAATATTTTTAACCCTCACCCTATTGGGAGGGGGAGGGCAATATTGCCCCGCCCCTGTGGTTTTTCCTGAACAGTAAGAAAACGGCGGCGCAGCGCCGCCAAATTTTCGGTGCCTTCATGGGCATCAATTTGACACCTTCACACAAAATTTCAAGTCTTAGGTCACCTTAGGTCAGGATTTATTGAGGTCAAACTGAGGTCATGTTCCAGCAAAAATGAGCAAAAAACATAAAATCTTTTAACACTCACAAAAGCTACAGTTTACAAGCAAATTCAAAGTTCTGTATGTGGTCGTATAGACTACAGAGAAAAGACGATGCTACAAATCTGCTATCTCGGATTTTTCAAAATTTTGTGATTTTGACCCTGAAAAACAATTTTTTTTTTAAAATAAAAATGTAAAAAAAAAATCCCAAAAGTTTTTCGAATTTCGGAAAAAACGGAACATATATGACCGTCCCTGCTCTCTTCTATCTACATACCAAATTTTAGATCAATACCTCCTTTTTTGGCCAAGTTTATAGCCAAAAAAAAAACTTCAAAATAGATTACGTCAAATTTTAGAACTCAATTTTAGCAATTCTAGACCACATAGTGCAAAACAATGACCATTAGAC